GGCAACGAGGTCAAGTTCCGAAATGGACCGTGAGGGTTGCCAATGGGGTCGCGATCTTCGAAGCCCCATGGGTTGTACGATTTATGGCAAATAGGGAGAAATCCGTTTTGAATAAAATTAACACGTTATTATGACACTTTTAAGCCGGATGATGCAAATCAGAAACGTCTCCAGCTGCTTTTACACATCTCTGAATAGTCCTTAGAGTTTCTTCCTCTTTTGCGTTGTGATGACGACGGACATATTCATATGACCCGAAACTGACCCAGGGAGTGTACTTTCATTCCATTCTGAATCAATTTGACTTCTAAATCAATTTACCAACTTTAATCTTTTGTTGCCCAAGTTTGTCTCAGGGCAACGACAATTTAGCAAATTTGCTAGGGCTTAGCTATATCATGAGTTTAGGGCCGGTGCAGTTTTTTCTTCAATGTTTCATCCTGTGTATAGACAAAACTGATTTGTGCACCAAATTACACTTTCTAGTGATGGCTTCCATGTGTTTTGCAAATGAAGTGTGGGTGTAAGAATATATTTATGGCAGTCACAACTGTAACAAATCACTATATCTCATCAACTACCACTTCTTCACATTCCAGTGAATTAGAGGTAGTTTTACCGTCGTGCAGTTCAGCATCGCAACATGATACGGAAGTTCTGGGTTTTTTAAACTTGTCTAATGTCTGGAGCTTTTAACTTGTCCTCCAATGTATTTTTAAAAGTTGATGCAATCTTGTTCTGCAATTTCAACATTATTGATGTTTCATGTCGAGTTTTTCTTCTGGCGGGAACACGATGAAGTTTGATGAAATATCGCCCTTAATCAAGTGCAAAAAATCGTCAAAAGTTAATTGACAGTCTAAAATAATAGAAAAATTTTGGTTCGTAATCACGTAATTTTGGGTAGAGAGTAACGGACATACTATTTGTGAATCTTTCTCTCAAAATAGGATGAACCCACGAGATGTCATCTTTATTTAGTACATAGACTCCTCCACATGCTATCAGACCACTTGTGTAGCCATGACGAATTATGTTGTTATTACACAGTTAAAAGTTACCTGTGGGTTTTAAGTTGGTTTTTTGTAAGCATGAAATAGATGTTTCGATATGTATTGTAATTCATGCCGTCTGCAGTTTATATCATTCATATTCCATAGGAGGATATTCATTATAGATTTGAATTAAAAGAGTTTCTACTATTTAGTTGAGACTATTGTTTCAGTATTGTTTAAATTACATTCGATTTGTGTTTCATGTATTATTTGATGTGATCTTTGTTTGCTTGACCAATCGTTTTTCTTGTGGAGTTTTCGGGTTTTTCATGTTTGGTGAAGTGGATTTGGACCAGTAGAGGATTGTGATGCTTGTTTTTTTTTATGGCAGCACACAAAATTTTTTGTGTACTTGTTGTGGTACATGTTGTACCTGGAGATTTCAGGTCATTAGTGGAAAGTGGCGAAGATAACGTCCTAGGATCGAGAGTAAGATCATTTTATGGTTGTGAGGGGATGTTAATTATTGTGGGCGAAGGATTAGATTGGGAAGGGGCGCAGGGGATTAGGAGAGAGTTTATCTTTCGTACTAATTTTCCTACAACACTGGTGAGTTTATTTACTAGGTCTGTTAGTATTTCGATGCTTGATTTGCTATTGGGAGGCGTGGATGGTGTAGTAGTCGTTTTTGGCGGGGGGGGGTGCTACAGCTTGTGAAAACGAGTAAATGTGGCATGTTGTTGATATTTTCCATTTTTGGAGTAAAGTTTCAGTGTGCTTGAATCAAGTTTTCTCAATTATACGGAGGTTTTCTACTTTTCTTTCATATGTATAAATTGGATAATTTCTGTTCTCAATTTTCGTTTCCATTCTTCACATTTCCCGCAGTTTCTTGTCTTACAGTATTTACTTGTGTGCTATTTAAATCTATAGCAAGAAAAACATTGCGTTGGATTTGGGATGAAATAGCGCACTCTTACTTGAAGAAAATTTGTTACGGTTGTAATATTATTAATATTGTAATATTATTTTTTCCAGAATTTCCGGTTTTTGAAAGGTTATGATGACAACAAAGTGTGGTTTTGGTACTTGGTACTATAGTTCAGTCTCAGTACAGTTGAGAAGTTCTGCAACGTTTATGGCACTTTTCGAGTAAAATAAAGAACGATGGAGAGAGAAAGAAACAGGAATATTTCCATATGTCTTCATATTCATTCTACACATTAAAGAAATCTTTTTCCCTGTTCGTTTCTAACAAAATAGTTCCGTTCCTTAAAAGTTTTATGTTTATACTCGGGGCAAATCTCTCTATAAACTTTCACACCTTAAATGGGTTAAAGTTGCTGAAAGTTTTGTTCTATGCATTTTCAGTTTGGGTCATAATCATATATTTTCTACATCATTTATCTTTTGGTTTAAAAATATTGTTGTTGTCAGCACACGGGCGAAGTTTCATGGAGAATTTTGTATCCACCGTGGATTAATACAAAATATAAACTGCTGAGAGAACTCCAATAATTATTTTCAAAAGAAAATGTAATATTAATTTTAAATATAAGGTACTCTCTGTTGTACAAGGAGTTGTTGATAAAAAGATCTCAGGAGGGAACAAACACTATGTTGACAGTGAGGAATAGCCTTTAAATTACATTTACTTGTTTATTAGGTTTATATCAGCCGCATTTTAGTAGGAATGTCACTCATTAATTCAAATCTGTAGCTTTAATATATCTTCTTTTTTTTTAAATACGAATGTGCACAATAAATTATATTGCGCTTGGAAAAGTGAGTCCGGAAGAATGACCATTAAGGATTTCAGATTAAGTCTTCCCATCCAATTAGTTGAAAGAAGGAAAAGCCGATCTGATAGGAAATTAATTGTTTTAAAAATTATAATTAGTATGATACCGTATATAGATGGTTTACAACAAATGGCTTGTCTGCGGCTTGATCGTCTGGGAACATCCTGGTCCGCTTGTACTCGTTGAGTATTACAAGGTTAAAAATTAATCAAATGAATTGTTCGTTTAGATTTTATATTTGAACTTGAAATAAGATTATTATATAATTGTTTATAAATATCGGACTGGCTCAATAAAACCTTATGTCATTTAATTCCGTGGAAAAAGAAATATGAATAATTATTTTTGAAATTCTCATCGGACAAAAAGATTCACAGCTCTTGAAGCAGCTGAACGTGAAATTATTAAAACTAAAGGAGAATGGGTGATAAGTGGTCTATGGAATGGAAAAAGGGCTAAGGGCGGCCATCCAAGTATACTCGCCAGAGAATTTGAACTGTTTAATAACAGAAAAAGAACAGTAGACGAACTCAGATAATTCGTTGAAAAGGTTCTCAAAAATCTTTAAAAAGCCCACGACATGAGACAGCCGAAAAATTGCCGCTTGCGATGAAGCGTGTTTACCGGAGAAATCCTAAAACCTGTGGACACTTGGAGGTCCAACAGTTTTTCCAGTTGCTTCAAAAAGACAGTTTGAAAAAGATACACGTTGTTCAAGCCAAAATATTTTTCTAGTGCGCCAGGAAAGTTGTGCAGGATAGACAAACCGGGGATTGCGCATGGATGTGATTGGTTATGATAGGAATGGCTAGGTTAGTAAGTTTAGCTCTAGGCTTTAGATGGAGAAAGGATTTGCAATCGGTCACGGCTGTTAGAGATTGGAATAAATAAACAACAAGTGAATCTGTTTGTTCCAGTTGAAAATATAGCAGCACGTGGACTGGTCGCCGGTTCGGACTCGAGTGCCCACTGTGTACCATTTCCTGTCCACTTCTTTCCATACGGCTTCAACCGCTTCACTGATGTGACATAATTTATATAGTCGTCGATACGTGTTGGAATTGAATGGCATGAAATAACTGATCGACGTGAAAAACCGTAGATCAGTCTTTGCCTATAGAATATCGGGCAGTTCCACGATCGTTTGTGGAGAAGAAACCTGTCGACAATGGATCGAGATTTAACAGCTTTTCCAGTTGCTTCAAAAAAGACTTCAAAAAGAGAAAGATCCTCGATGTGGGTTGTTATTTGGAGCTAGAAAGGAGTTATTCAACCACAAGTGCTTCGTTCGACGATCGTTTCGGCGTTTGAGAGGTGTGAGCAAATCGTTCTAGCACAGACTTCGGCCTATAGAAAGGTTATTCAAGGATCTGTCATTCCCACCATATATCCCAGACCTCACTATTTAATATTACATATTGCATATGAAACAACGTCAAATTTTGACTTAACTCTTTTACTTCAAACTCACTTCTCCCATAACTTCTTCCAATGAGCAAACAATCCCTCTCCCCTTCTGGGCTTCTAAATGTCGGGAATTCTCGACTTTTAGAGTATCTATTGGATACGTAGCAAGGAGAGGGAATTTAATACAGCGCATAATTTGTTATATTACTGGGACGTCAGTAGATTATTTTTATTGTGAACTTTTTTCCGCTTGTTTATATGCCTTGCAACATTGCAAATTATGAATTTTTAGACTGCTTAATAGAATTTGTCATTTGACTTTATTTTGATATCATTTTTGAGAATACTAGCTGCTGTTTGACGTGTGCTTCCAGTGATGACTGTGGGGTGACATTTCTTCCAAAATATTTGTAACATAAATAAAGCGATTTTTACCATCAGCAGTCTTAGTGGTCCTCCTTCAAATTATTTCCTTATTTTGATCATGGCCCATTTTGTCCAAGGGAATAATTTATTAATAAGACAAAAAAATTTGCTAATGATACTTGATGGGGTTTGCATTTTGATTTTATTACATATTAAAAGAAATCTAATGCAAGAACCTTAATGGATCGGGTGAAGATGGTTCGAGTCGTGTGTGGCTCATCACATCCTTGGATCGCTTACCACACCAACCTCCGTGGCTGTTGAAACGGACCTTCTGAAGCGTGACAAGAGAGCGAGACCAAGGCGGACCAAAATCAATTGGGAAAGGATGAAAAGGAGGAGTGGGGAAGTGCGTTCCTCACCTCTCGGCGGTCACCAGTTAGCATTGTTAGTCTTATAAGGAGTTCCAATCCTGTTGGTTGGTGTACCAACGTGAGGATTGCCTCATGACACACTCCCAGTTGGATTTTACAACATCTCCACGTTCACCTGGTCTGCAATGTCGCGCAAGTTGGTCAAATTTCTAATACTTTTCGACAACACGAATCTTCTCTACTTTCCTGGGCAGTTCCTCAGCGGAAGGGTCCTTGTCGAGCTCAAGGATGACACCCCAGCTCTAGGTAACGATTACCAACAACACACCCGACAAATCCCCCCCAATTTTTTTTTTTTTAAATTTAATCCTGTTGCCTTTTAAAACATATTTTGTTTCAATTAAAACATCCTTGTCTAATTTGACGACCGTGTTTGAGTGAAAGCCCCTAGTTTTTTTTTTTTATAATTTTTTATTATTGTTATAAACAATATGTTAAATAATTTATATTAGGACAAAGATTGACATTTTTTCCTCTTCCAGATGAACAGAAGAGGAAGTGATTATGTGATTTTTAACATATGAGAAACAATGTAGGCGACAAGGCCAGACCCTTCACAACATTAACAAATCCGTGTTTAAAGCTCCACCTATTCGAGTAAATTCTATCCGTAACAGGCCAAAAAAAGACGATATTTAGATAATAAATAATTTTGGAATGTTCTTTGACCGACGACTCTCCTTCTCGGTCGAACAATGAGGAATATTCCTAAGTAGAAAGTTCCTGGGAGAAGACAATGCTGCAACTGAGTTTCATCTCCTTATTACAAGAGATTTTAACGAAATTTCACACCTTGGCTTTTTTTACCACGAAACGCACCACAAGTAACATCTCTCAGGTCGAGCCGTTTTCGAAAAACAACGAAAAAATATATATTTCAAAATATTTGGAAAAATCAAGCATAAAAATAAATAACAAAATTAAATCTTAAGACCAAAAGTTTTGCTAAATCTCCTCTTTTATTATTTTCAATTTTTCTGTTGAATTCACTTCTACCAAAATCACAATAAGATTATTTATTTTTAAAAAAAAGTATTTATTATTGTACAATTTTTTTCCTGAGTCAACCATAAATCTTGCAGGCTCACCTATCTTCACCAGCTCTGTCAGGGGTTTTGGCATTTCACCACCCTCTGTGTTTGGTCTGTGTGTCTACTCTGCTGTTGCTGTCTTTATCTTCAATATAACTACACGCCCCCAGATGTCCACATCATCACAAAGGTGATAGTCCATGAGCTAGCTCGACCCTTGCTCGGAGAAGCTTGGTGTATCATTGTCCTCTTGGTTTCCACTTTCTGTCCATTCTGCACTTAAGGATGTGACAGGCATGATTTTTCGTTACCGCTTCTCTCATTGTTCCATTCTTGGGAAGATTTCCCCCCTATGTCAGCTATACGGAAGGTCATCTACCTACCCCCATATTAACTCGCGATAGTATTATTGAGACGTGTTGTTTTATGTGCTGTTTGTTGCTGCTCCTCTCTGTTAGATTCTGTAAGACATCTCCAGTATAGTATCCTTGTCTGCTCTCCTAGGAGTAAAGTTGTACCAAAACACCATTTCTGATACAAATCCTCCACTTCTCTCAGGCATTCTTTTAACCACTGGGTTTCTTTCGATTATGCCATTCTCCTCTGGTTGGTTTACACACCTTTAATTTGACATTCCACTTATGACCAGCCGAAGAATTCCATCGAAGCGAAAGGTCCTGTTCTAGTCCAATAGTGATCAGACGATGGGCCACACTCGGCAAACACTTATTCCTACAAAACATCTCTTGTTATTTTTAAAGGTGTCTCAAAATTTTCTTTAAATTTACTTTTATCAAATTTTTCTTAGTACTCATAAATTTTTAATATTTTTTTAAAGGATTTTATGATGGCTTGTCTTAAATTGGGTTTAATTCAGTCTTAAGTCTGCACCGTCAGGGTAAAACCTATATAGATCCAAAACACAACTTTAAAGGATTGCAATATTAAAAGTTTAGATTTTTGTAGTAACTTTTTCTCCTTTTTTTATGAGAAGGTTTCCTTCTCACTTTGTTAATTATACAGGAATCAGCCTTAAATACACAGGAAATATACAGTCATTTCATTTTGTCCTTTCATACACCATCCTTTGGATGTACGTGTGCAATGGTGCTAGATCCATTGCTGAAATATCCCAATTTTAATTGATTTGGTTTTTTTTCCGAAGGTTTTGTCCACAATACTAGAGTTACATATATGACCAGAGGTCTAATCTCTATACCACATGTTTTACTACAAAATCTTTGGCTATCAAAGATCAAAATCAAAACCTTTGTTTTTCTGCCCAGATAATTCATCTCCCTGAAGAAGAAAATGATATTTTTATTTTTCAAAGTAGTGTTTTTAGATTGTCTCAATGATGATATTTAACCTTTGATGATAAGAAAGTACGCTGAATCTAGAAAAAAATTTAATTAAAAGCTGATCTAGGACTGCCTAACTTATCTTCAGCTCCTGGGAAAATAAAATCAGATAACTGATATGGTACCATGACACGAGGGGATTGAAGGCAATGCACAGGCTGACAAACTGTTAAAAACGAAGCAGCCATCATACAGCTAAAAAACGAACTGAATCGAATGGGGAAAAAAATACTACTAGATGAATTCACAAAGTTTCTCAACTTCTCAACCAAGATAATAAAATCTACCTCTCTCTCAGTAGGAGAATTAAGAAAAATCATAGGCTTTTATACCGGTCATTGGTTATTCTATCACCACCTTAAAAAATTAGTAAAACCTGAGCTACCATTCTATTTTTGTTCAGTCTACTGATCTATCTTTCTATCAATGTTTTTCTGTAGTATTTACTTGCATATTCACATATATTTATCAAATTGTAGCTTCCTTATTCCTGCTGACCTGACGAAAGGTTCAAATATCCACAATTCGCATCGTGTATAATGAAATTGTAAAATCTTCATTCTGTTAACCTATACATCTTTATTATATGTATGTTCTGTTCTAATAGTCTGTATCATCAAGCTGCTTATCCAGCAACATTGTCTGTGTTTGTGCTATTTAGTGATCAACTGATCAACTTTCAACCTTTCGAACGAATACATCAATTTTTTCTCTGGTGTGGTTAGAAATTGATGGAGAAAGAAATTACTACATACTGGATGAATACCAATACTAGTTCCTTGGCATTTCAACCAAGAAAACCAAAATCCACCTTTTTCTTAGTAGTCAAGAATTAAGGAAAATAATAAGCTTTTTTAAAAAAAATTGGGAATAACTGTGACAGAAACCAACTCAGTCATGAAATAGCAGAGACATCGGAATACCTGTGCATTAGCCTGGAAATGGCCTCTTCAGAAAGGAAAGGCAATATTGACACCTAAAGAAATAAGTAAAACTGAACACTGGAAAGTGCTGAACAAAAAAAAAATTTTGGAATAACTGTGACAGAAACTAACTGAGTCATGAAATAGCAGAGACATCGGAATACCTGTGACTACAAAGCATTAGCCTGGAAACGACCTCTTCAGAAAGGAAAGGCAATATTGACATCTAAAGAAATAAGTAAAATTGAACACTGGAAAGTGCTGAACTACCTTAAAGATAAAAGAAATTAAAGACAGGTAACAAGCAGTCTCATACAAAAAAGAACCACTCTCTAGACCATAGAACTTGATATATAATGATTTTAATTGTGAAATTCTAATAAGAAACTTATTTGTCACAATAAAAAAAGTCAATGGAAAAAGTGTATATAAAAAGACTGACCGTGGTTGATCAAAACCCAAATAGAAAAGTTTAAAACTGGTTGAAGACTGGTGTGAAATGTTGCATACTTTAATATCGGGGCTCCAACATCAAACAAATTAATAAAATATGTTTTTTAGGTTTACATTTCCATGTTGTGGGAGAAGGTGTGATTAGGTTAAGGAAACATGGACACGATCGTGTTTCGGATAAAGAGAACTACATAGATTTTAAAATGAGACTCCTTGGAGAACCAGGTAAATAAATATATATTTCTTCTTGAATATAATGCTTTAGAAGTAGTATAATATTAGTTTGAATACACATATATATTTATGTTTAAGGGCAAGGACCAGTATTGCTATCACCAGGGATTCATAGTTTCCCATTTAAATTAGGATTGCCATTAGGTCTACCATCGACATTTCTTGGAAAGCATGGATGGGTTCAGTATTTTTGCAAAGCTGCTTTAAGAGAGCCCAATGGTTTGACTCATAAAAACCAGCAAGTTTTTATTGTAATGAATCCCATCGATCTGAACCTTGAGCCATCTGTGATATCTGTAAATATATTTCTGTGTCATATTCTTAGAGAATAATTAAAAAAAAAAATTTAAAATTATTGAATTTATGTTTCTTAGCAACCGTTTCAGTGTGAGATAGAACATAAATTAGGCATGGCTTGTTTTAAAAATGGCCAGGTAATATGTCGCGTTTCCCTGGACAGGGGTGGATATGTTCCAGGAGAGACGATAGGCATCTCAGCGACCATTCATAATCATAGTAAAATAAACATCAAACAGACACGAGCTGCATTGACTGAGGTAAGTTTACATCGGTAAACAAACGATGTGAAATTTATCCATGAAATTCTACTTGCAGACGATTCAATACTTGACAAGGAACAAAATTGTACAGTCAGAAACTAGAGAGTTAGCTTCACTAAGCCGAGGAAAAATAAGAGCAGGTGAAAGTGACGAATGGGTCAATGAGCAAATATACGTCCCACCGTTACCTCCCACAAATCTCAGAGGATGCCATTTAATTAGAATATTATATGATGTTTACGTACGTATCCATATTTCTTATTTGTTAATAAATAATAATAAAGATTATAAAATTATCTGGTCCTTGTGTAACCTCCAATTTGTTAATCTGAATTATTTCCATAATTTTGCCTTCAGTTTTGTTCTAATAAGATTTTCTGTAAACATAATTTGCTAAATTGTCTTTAATGATTTGATGGTAGAATGGATATTGTAGTTATAAAACATTGAGATAAGACAATCCTGTAGTTTGATTTGTACCACTAGTCTTGCTTATTCTGTCTACAGAATCATTTTCGTATTCATAAATAGTTCATGGCTGACAAAATAATACACAAACCTACCACCGAAGATGGTGGAATGTAAAAATGTCTCAGATAGACCCGTGTGAGTATAGGCAGGAAAATTGGAGCTGCCAAACAAGTTCAGCACGCAATAGGTCTCATAAAAAAATTAAGAAATTACTATTTTTTATTGTACATTACAGTGCTCTCTCCCTTATCTGAACAGTGAATGGGTGAGAGAGTGAGTGAGAGGAAGAGAGAGACAGAGTAAGTGAATGGGTGAGAGAGTGAGTCAGAGGAAGAGAGAGACAGAGTAAGTGAATGGGTGAGTAAGAGAAAGTAAGTGAGCGAGTGCATAAGAAAAAGGGAGACAGAGTAAGTGAGCGAGTTGAGAGCATGAATGAGTCTTATGAAAGACCAAAACCAGTTTAATTAGTCAAATTGTCGAGAATTTGTTTTGTTCAGTGAAAACTTCTCCTCCCTTCACTACTTAAAAGTTAAATGTTAGATCAGTGTACATTTTTCCTTAAAATATAGTGAAAAGAGGAAGAAGCAATGAAAAAAATGTTAAATAAATTTTAAAAAAAGATTTTAAAAAAATTGTCTGTTTTTTGTACATATGTATGTTTTTTTTAACAGCCTCTGTAATCCAAATTTCACAATAATCCAAATACCCCCTGCACTAATTAATTTGGATTACAGCATTTTTTTATTACAGCTGTACTCAAGCCAATATCATTTGTATTGCATCACTTGACAATCTACCTTCTTGCTTTTGTCACAATTTCCATCTGTTTTCAGTTCATTATACATCCGAAAAATTTTGATAAAGAAGTAAAACTGCAATTACCGATCATGATGGCCACTTATCCGTTAAGGGGACACGAGGGAACACTGAGGCGAAAGCAGGGGACGCATTACCCTTCCACACTGCCCATCTTCCGACCTTGGCTTGAAGAGAAAACTTTTTGAAACATTTAAATAAATTAAATTTGACTAATACTAAAATGTTTCTTTAATCGGCATGTTAGATAATTGTAATATTTTCTTGTACAATAAACTATCGTATTATTGATACAGTTTGTATACTATTACTAAAGTCTATATTGTTTTTTAATTTATCATGGCCATTTTATTTTAAATAATTGTTTAATTTTTTTCTTCAAAAGTCTGTCATATTTTTTTAATGTATTACTAAATATTTTGAAAATAAAGGAAAAAAATTAATGTAGCATATACTAATGTACCACATTTGTGTTTGTGTTTAGGACTAATTTTGTATTTAGGATAAAATTATTTTAATGTACATAAAATAAATTTAAAAAATGTCATGTCACTTAATTATTAAATAAAATAAACCCTCATAAATGTCTCATAAAAAGACATCCTGATCGTCTTGAACATGCTTATCATCTAAACTGATGTTTTGTCAGTGTGACTGACACCTGAAAATTTTTCCTTTCACCCTAAATTACGAAACATTCTACTTGGTGTTGAAAACTTAAAAAATTGTCAGGGAATGACCCAAACATTATTATTAATATTATCAGAAATAAACATTAGAAATAAATAAACAATCAAATAAATAGCATGAATAAGAGAGGCAGAGCGAATGAAGAAAGGGATTAGAGTTGCGGTGTATCCAAGGAGGAGTAAACATCGCCGGTTTTGTCTTCTGTTCTATGTGGTAAGACACAACTGTTACACCCGTAATCATTGGCTCTCCATTAATAATATTACATGTATTATGCCAATTCAAAAGTAATTTCAAAAAAAAAAAAAAAAAGCAAAAAAGGCAATATGAAGATCAATAATAAATCAAAAGTAACCAAATTCAATTGTTTTCACTTGTTATATAGAATATAATGGAACAGGAAAGGTGGGAACCAGAACAGCTGTGAGATGTTGGGGGTGATGCTGGGGCCAGGGTGGTGTATGTGCTCGTCGGATCCTTGGGTCACTGTGGGACCCTGGCTACTACTAAGTTTAGGTTTGTTATCCCACAGACACAGACAGATCTCACAATTTAACAATAAAAAAACCTTGTGTGACTTAGGATACATACATCGATTTAAGTATGTTTTTAAAAACTGATTTTCAATTCAGCTACGATAATTTTTTTTTGTCTTTGTTTCAGAAGAAGTGTTTGTATTATTGTGAGATAGTCTGTGAGGTGATGAACCTGTATTTTGTTTGTAACCAATGAATATTGCAAACTGCCAAACATGCCTCGAACAGATAGACCAGGTAATATTCTGATGAAGGTACAGTTCATAAAATTAGGAGTCACACATAGGAGTTTTTTGATATATTTCAAGAGTTTTACATCCATCAAAGTATATTAGTTGATATATGTTTATAGAGTGAATGGTGATGAGTCCCCGGTGTGATATTAAAAACACTGTAAGCTTGTCAGTTTTTTTAAATAGTATATAATGTTTGAAAGGTTATGTTTTGTAGGAATGTATTTATTATATTGAGTGTTTTGAATAAGTGTGGGTCTGTTTCTGCGTGTATATAGAGAAGCACTACCAAAGCATGCTAGTTAGTTGTTATGTGTTAGAATTGTGATTAGAAAATGGTGGCATATTAATAGTTAGTTTTTATATGTTTATAGAGTGATTAGAAGCAAGACACAGGCGCAATATCAAATATTCATTACCATGATAGGTCAACACAATTTCAAATTGAATAAAAAATAATATCAAGAACATTTACAGTTGACTTAAGTTTATTTTAGATGAGTTATTTGGGAAAATGATGGTTTTTGCTTATGTATTGTGGTAAAGGTTATGTAATGTATGAATGTATTTGTTAGCTTGAGTGTTTTGAATTTGTGTGGGTGGGTTGCTACCAGAATATAGAGAACTACCAAAGTAGGTTAGCTGTTATGTTGTGAACGATGGTGTGAAAATGGTGTAATACTTATAATCCGGTGATACCAATTGTTTATTAAACTGCATATACTTTTTGAATGGTTTTCATTTTATATGAATGTATTTATTAATGAATTAGTGAATTTGTAGAAGAATATAACCCATAGAATAACCATACCACCCATTGAATAAACTAGATTAGGTTAAATGTTTATAGTGTGATTAAAAGTGAGACACTTGCACAATATCAAGTAATCATTATCATGATAGGGCAACACAATTTCAAATTGCATAAAAAATAGTTTCAAGAATATTTACACTTGACTTAAGTTTATTTTAAATATGCTGTTTAGAAAAATGATGTTTTTTGGCTATATAATGACTTAAAGGTTATGCTTTGTATGAATGTGTTTATTAAGCTTGAGTGTTTTGAATATTTGTTGGGCGGTTTTTGCCAGAATATAGTGTACATCAAAGAACCACCAAAGTTGGTTAGTTGTTATATGTTTATAGTGTTGAGAAAAAAAGTCTGTAACATCAAAAACCCCAATGGCTCACTATTTCTTTTAATTGTACACACTTTTTGAAAGGTTTACATTTTGTATGAATCTATTTACTAGTATGAGTGGGTTTGTGGCAGAATATAGAGCACCCCACAGTCCCACATTAGGTTAGTTTTTAGTACATATTTTTTGATAAATTATGTTTTCTATGATATAATTTATTAGTGAGAGTGTGGGAAAGTATTGAGTATTTCATAGAGTGCTTTTGATTATACTGTGTAACCCTGCACAGTTGTCCTGCTTGTAGAGAAACTTGCTCAGTGTGTCATACTTGAGTGAGGAGTGCCACACCTTGGCCCCTTACAGGGTGAGCGTAGGCATGGTACCTGAAATAAAGAGTCCTTGGGCATGAGAATGAGTTGTTGGGTCCCCTGTTCCGATTTCCAAGGGAAACGGGAATGTTTTCCCATCTGTAAATATTGTAAATATTATATATATTATTATTGTGTAGCTGTACAGTGTGCATGTATGTATATGTTTGTTTGTGCATATAGTTGTTTGTTTTGAGAATGAGTAAATGAGAGGGCCAATGGAGGAATATCCATCGGCCTTGTGCATTGGGGTACAAGTATGTACACGCATAATTATCTTATGGTATTGGATATACAACTGTCCATGTTATACTTAAACAAATTTGTTGGTTTTTCTTTTTTTTAAAAAATCACATTTATTGACAAAATATTTGACATCTAATGTAAACATGTGCATAGTGCTTGAGAGAAATTTTTTTATGATTCGTACTCTCTCAAGATGTTCTAAAAGAAGGGCTTTTTTCATTTTGCATTTTCAAAATTTGAAACTCTCAACAAATAAACAATGGCGTTCTAAATGAATGCAATAATGATTGATTAAGTATGAAGATACACAAACTACGCATAGTTTTTTAGAAAATAAACAACGAATATTTCAACAAAGAAATAAATTTAAAATAAATTGATGAACAAAATTATTAATAATTTGTATTGTTTTATGTTAAAAGTTTAAAAAATTACTCATTTCCAGGGGCTCAATGGAGAAACATTTCACCTAAGGACATTTCAGGCAGTTTACCTTACCAAACATACCTGCATTCTTTGTACTAAAAAATCTGCATATTATCTAATTCATATTTATGAGTATACCTACATTTATAAATGTATTATACATGTACCACATTACAAAAATTACTCTTATTAATAATAAGTTTATCTTAACTACATTTGGGCATAAATTGAGAGATATTTCATACAAAAATATAACTGTCTCTTTAGCTACAATAAATAATGGCAAATATTTGGTAAAAATAACATCTATATTATATATTATTTACTTATACAGATTATAGTTACTTATATTATTATTTTTTTTAAACACAAATTAAAAGTGAATGAGAAAAACTGTTGATTGGTAGTTTTACAACAGGCCTAATTTCGACCCAAATGGTTAAATCAGTTCACAATTTTATGACTACACAACTAGAAAAAGAAAATCTGCCTACTATATACAAATTTAGCTATTAACACATTAGCAGTCTTTAATTTTAAAAAAGTCTTTTGTTATTCAATACCCATAGCCTGACCGAATGGTTTAAGGAGGCAAAACTGGTCTAATTAATGGTTAATTTTATTACACATATCCTCTTCCAGAGAGTTTCATAGCTGTTTCATAACTCGGTAGGTCTGGATCGTTTACACTGCCGGTTTCGTCACAATGTTCTTTACCATTTTCGATAACATCTTCGTACGAAGGAGGAGAGAGGTTGATGTAGTTCTCCCTCCCCTGGCACAAGCTCAATTGATTGTAGCACTAAAAAAAAAAAAAAAATCATTTACAATAATTGTGCCAACGTTTCGATCTTTATTAAGATCATCTTCAGGGCTCAAAGTGTTTATTTTCTATGTAGATGTGTTATTGCTGTGGGTCCTGTAGAGTGTGCCCAATGAGTGAAAATGTTTTTCTAAACCTACATCACACCAGACCACAACTCACGATCTCCAAATAATTAACAGCCATTAAATAACACACATGTCATGATAATGTTTATTTGATATTGGGCCAGTGTCTCACCTCCAGTCACTCTATAAACTAACCTACTTTGGCCAGTCTGTGGGGTAATATATTCCGCCACAAACCCACTCACACTAATAAATACATTCATACAAAATTAAAACCATTCATACAGTATATTTAGTTTAAAAGAAAATTGGTGTCACTGGATTATAAATATTACACTATTTTCGCATCATCGTTCACACACATAAAAACTAACCTAATTTGGTGGTTTTTCTCTATCCTCTGGCACAAAGTGACCCACACATTTTGAAAACCCTCCCCTAACAAATATATTCATACACTACATAACACTTATGTCATTATATAACCAAAAACCATCATTTTGCAAAACAACTCATTTAAAATAAACTTAAGTCAACTGTACATGTTCTTGAAATTATTTTGTATGCAATTTAAAATTGTGTTTACCTGTCATGTTAATGATTATTTGATATAGCGCCAGTCTTTTGCCTCTAATCACTCTATAAACATATAAAAGTAACTTACTTTGTTCAATCTGTGGGTTATATTCTGTCAGAAACTCACTCACGTTAAAAAATACACCCAAAAATGGATCCTTAATGTGTACAAAACCTGGTGGTGCAACACTCCAGGCATGAGGAGTATGCAAAGAAATTCATAAAAGGGCCTTCTGTGGAACCAGGATTCTGGTTGGACTCCTGACAGGGCACTGCTCTAAGATGGCACGTGCACCATATATGAGTACATACAGAAGAAACACTGTACAGAAAATGCCAGGACCGCAGAACACGTTTTATAATTTGTGAGGATCTATGTAGCTGCAAGATCCTACGCTAAGGAGCCCCTCTGGTAAGGATATGTAGGATTATTAACAACCTGTGAGCAGTGAGTCATGAAATTAGAATAACGCAGTGGATCTACGCAAGTCGAGGTGTGGAAGGCCTTGTGGCCACCTGTTTTATCCCTAGTCAATTTGGTTGAAGCATGCCGAAACAAAAGATTTGATTGTGGCTGAACACGACTGGAATGTGAAACCCCACTGCAGGCAAAACATGTTTAGAACTTGTGGAAGTAAAGACTCTTAAGGTGATTCCAGACATGCGGGATTCGCCGAATCGTCTAGTGTGGATGGATGCTCGGCTATTCGCCGAATGACAGTACTCCGTGCTCGCTGTGCTCAGCTTATTGTCGGTTTTATGGCCCGCTTCAAAGTGCACGAATATTCATGAAGTAGCCGAACTCAAAGCATCCACACATTCGGGAATCAACTGGAACTGTTCATACCTTTGACCAATTGTCAACTCTTATCAAAATCAACGGTAAGCGTATACTTCTATTTAATGGTAATTATTTTTCATTAATAAACGATTCCTAACTACTGTAGATGTATTCATTTGCACATAACAACATAGCATTGTTTTTTTTGCTTAGGAATGGATTGGCCCAACGCGACGGTTTTGGAGTTCCTCGATCTTTACTTAACAGAACCAATAATTTGGAAAGTTTCTCTTACGAAACATAAAAATTGGAGAGAGGTTTTCGATGCGTTTCCACGCATCGAATGTAGAATGGGGCATCAGTACTCTGTGACTGATTAAAAAAAAAAGGATTTACTAATGGCATCCTTTAGAATCTGCCTTTAAAAAATCAAGGAGAGCGTCAAAAGCGGGGCTAGTGCTGGACTAAATCGACGGTTTAGTGATATCATCCACCATCTCCTTTTCTTACGCCTTTTTTTAATTAGTTAGTAGCCACTGCATAAAACTGTAACCGCAGCTGCTGCAATAACAGTTTCACTGTCATCGATCACGATTGGTAGTAAGTTGAGGACTCGCACGGCACTTGGCAAATACGTATTCTCTGTTTCCGCAACACCCCGCATGTGTGTATACGTAGGCACGCTATTTGGCGAATGCCAAGACGAGCATCTCGTGACTTGGCAAATATTCGACGGCAATCGGCATTCGGCGAATACCATTGTATTATATATATATAAGAGTGAGGACCTGCGAAATTATATATGTCCAAACCAGATTTTCATCAAATTTATTTGTAAGGATTTAAACTTGTGCAAAGTGCGGCCCAAACTGGACTAACATCAATACAGTTTAGGGGGCGGGAAGCATTAGTGAATTCAAGGTGCAGCGATGGTATCAGAGATTTCGTATTGGAGTTTCCGGTCTCGAAGACTTGGAAGGTCGCCGTAGGACTTCTATTGTGGACGACGACCAATTCAAAACGTTGATGAAGAAAATTCTCGTAAAGGTGTGTACACACTAATCAAATCTCGCCCAACGAAAGACAAATATATCGGGCCGAACGTGGGTCGCCAATACGTTGGCCATGGAAATGATAAATGGTGGAGTGAGTATGTTGTTCAATCTTTATAAAAAGATAGTTCCTACTCACAGTTAGACTACTAACTACCGTGAGTAGGAACTATCTTTTTATAAAGATTACACATTGGCCATCCTCATCAAACCAAACCAAGGGCTTGTGGCCAAGATTGACGATTTATCTACAAAATATCTACAAAATCCAATTGTAAATATAAGTAGGAGATTTTATCTGTTTTTTATTTACCTCTAATCTTTTAAAACGGATCTAATATTGTTGTAAGATAATCAACGGAGGATTGTCCAAGAGATAATTCAAAATATTAAGGGTGGCCGCTTTTTTGCCGGTATGGGGTCTCCCTTAGCTTAGGTGAGGAGATGGATGGGAAAAAACAAAACAGATTCATCATTTCGCATAACACATGAGGGAATCTCACGATACCATAAAATGTCAATTTCATTTAGGAAAGTTAAAAACATTATAGGATCTACATACAGCCTTGTCGTACTCCACTGGCTACGGGACTGGTCTTATGGGTTTTATTTATGTAATTTTCTGAGTTCTCTGAGTTCTGGTGGTTGGTTACAAAACAAACTAACAAAATTATACGAACAATAGGGACTAATGAGATGAAAGGACAGTTAAAGGTTTTGTTTGTTAAATTCACTAATTTCGTGGTCCGCTTGACCAATTAATATATTACAATTAATTAAGGTTTTTGGTTGAGATAAAAAGTCAATGGCACGAGCGGGATTTGAACCCACGATCGTCGGCTAGATACGCCGCTGCTCTACCACTTGAGCTATCGTGACCTTGAAAAATGGCAAAAAGGAGGGAAAATTCAAAAGGTGGGGTTGAGGTGGGAAGTTAGTGTCCGAGTGGATCGAGGTCACGATAGCTCAAGTGGTAGAGCAGCGGCGTATCTAGCGGAAGATCGTGGGTTCGAATCCCGCTCGTGCCATTGACTTTTTTATCTCAACCAAAAACCTTAATCAATTGTTTTGTTTGTTTTTAAATGTTAGAAAGTAAAAAAACCGCACGAAAATTAACAATTGAAAACTCTTGTACTCTTCTTAAATCCAACAGATACAATCTGATATTAATTCTTTAACTATTTTCCTCTAATTTTCTATGGTGAAATCCTAGGGATTCGCCCTTGCCCTATTTGGTCCCAATGTTACAATGGGTGTAGTGTAGAAGCAGTCATTTTTTTTTCTAGACATTAACTATGGAATTAATGTTTTCCTTGTCAAAAATCACACCTGTTCATCGAGAGTAAATATGTGGACGGACGTTTCGGCATCTGCAACCTGGATCCATGAGTCCCTGCGGACGTATCTGCCTTCGCTCTTCTGGAATCTCCAGTGGCAGAGGTAGCAGATGCACACTATCGTGATCAGAAGGCAACTCATCATAGCACTGAAAAAATAACTGTTTCAGTTCGTATCTTGAAAAAAAAATTTTTTTTTATATGATGTAATCTGTTTACATGAAAATGTCTGAATTAAAAAAAAATTGTTATTCGATTGGATCAAATTCATGGGGATTAAAACGAGCCTTTCGGAACGAAAAGGGAAAGTGCCTTTACTATGTAATATATTGGTCAATTTTCAATAATGATCGATTTTATGCAAAATAAATTATGCTTAACTTATTCTTACGTAATAAAAAAAATGTATATTAAACGTAAGACTTTATATAATTATTCCCTACTCGCTGTTATGGGTGTTTTCTTTTAAAAAAATTTCTTCCAAGGAGGAAAGCCCTGGTTTTTACATTTTCAACTTGATAGATTTAAAAAAGAAATCTTTCAACGGATGGTCCACGTGTCAGAGCTTTTCGTAGATTGCATCACGGGCATCATTATAGTCGGGGAAGTAATGGAGTCGCGGTAATGGTAGTCACATACCATGGATCGGGGATTAGTTTTTTACATTTCTTTTTTGTTGGTTTTCTGCGGTGCAGATTTTGTTCTTTGTTGCCACCGTCTTCTCACCTCTTCGGTCCTTGCTTTCAAGTTTTTCAAATCCTTCAGAATCAATCAGACACCCAGCATTGTTCTTATGTCAATAATGTAATATATGACAAAGATCTGATATATATATATTTTTTTTTTACGAGGGTTTGCAACAGCAGAGGTTATAGGGGCGCCGATGTTTTTGAAAAAAAGCCCATTTGTTAGCATGTCGGGTTCGAATGCAAGGCCGCTGGATTCGAACTCGGGACCTTTACCTTACAGTGATGAGCGCCGTGTCAACGCCTACCGTTGCGGCCTCGACGCCCGTAGATCTGATATATCTGTACTTAAAGACAAAGATCTGTGATTGGATCTGTACATAAAGGATTTAAAAGTATAAACAGGAATGATTAACATTTGAAAATTTGATATATCTCATGAACTTAGATAGCGAGTACACTTAATATACAGCAAAAAAAAAAATGAATGAATTTTATGTTCATTTAAGTAATATTTTCCCCAATATAAATTTTTCTGCTATACCCAGTGAAAATAAATTTCCATTTTTTACACTCCAATTTAATCTATTTACTTCTGCATCGAAATCCACATAATAGAGGGACATTTTCGTGGACAGTACTCCCTCCTGGGTTAAGGGATGTCAGACTGAAAACAAGAAAATGCAATAGCTTGTTGAAAAAAATTACAAATTTAACTTTATTTAAATTAAATAATCTTTCTTTTTTGGCTGGAAAAGGAATTGGATTTTTAAAATCAAAGTAGGGTTCCAGTCATTATTTTTCCCTTATCAATCATTGAAGGTCTGTTTGAAACTATAAAATAGCTTTTAACACCTTTTTAATAAATGTAAATATAAAATAGTAGCTTTAGTTGGATGAAAAAGTGCTCATAAAATTTATATTAGTTTTGTAGGTAGGAAATTTAAATTTTAACGTTAAATTAATACCGTATTGATAAAATTAATGAAGAATTAAACATCCCCCTTCCACCCTCACTCACTCCTAAGCATTCAACTCTTAAGAAATGAGGTCATAATTTTCTTTATAATAAAAGTCCTGGCTAAGATCTCGTGAACTCTAATATCCTTCATCATCTTCCATCTTTTTATGACCGTTATTTTCAAGATGATGGTCGTTGAATAGGATTTGCTGGAATTCGCCCAGCATCCCCTGTTCTTCCGTCCGTATAGCAAACATCCTCAGTAAAACCATAAAATACCAATTTTTGTCTAAAATTAACTATTTAACATTATTTCAATTGACTAATTTTTCTCGTCTTATCAATTATTTTTCTATTTTCACATTAAAGTGCCTTACATTTATGGAATTAGCAGTGACAGGACATAGCTTTTGTCCGGGCCAGCTATCGGAATATCGTTGTGAAACTGGAAAATACGATATTATTTTCTTTTATTAATTGTTGCCGTTTGGTAAGGTAAAGGTCCCGGGTTCGAAAGCAGGGCCGGTAGACATACTTACAAATGTTTTTTTTTGTTTCAAAAACACCGGCACCCTGAGGGTTGATATGACCTCTGCTGTAAAAAACTAATGAACTTCCCCTTCTTGCTCCGGGTAGGCAGGCGTCGAGGAGATACAGGATTATTTCAGGCCCGAATACCACTGCTCCCTTTGTTGCTTCGCCGTGGTGTGCTGAGGAGGGTGGTTTGGGGAGAGAGAGAGAGAAGAATTTTGAAGAGTTATAAAAGAGGTGGATGGAGAAACAAGATAATAGCTCACACAGTGAGCACGTAAGAGCCACACTCACAATAATAGTGACACAACTGAAAAAAAAAAACATATTTTACAGGAGAGATAGATGGAAGTTTCTTTTTTTTTGCTTATGTATTAAGTACTCGCCATACAGTTGCTGGCTGTAAAAACTGTCTTCATCCATCTATATTGCCTTTCAGTTGACGAAAAAAAAGGGAAAACACAAAAGTTTCCAAATTCCACCTGTACTGCCCCTAAAAATTACCCTTTTTTGAGTTGTGTCACTTTTCTTGCATATATTGGCTCTTGGTATTTTAAGGTAGGTCGTTTACTTTAACGATAATGGTGATCAATGAATGACTTTATAAGCGTATTAATGTATTTGTGAGAGTAATAGATAACATACAAATCTAACAAACGAGCATACAGCGGGGAACACACTTACCTTGGGGCGTCGGTGGCCGAAACGTTTTTTTAGGCGTTGACACGGCGCTCATCAGGTAAAGGTCTCGGGTTCGAATCCAGCGGCCCTGCATTCGAACCCGACATACTTACAAATGGGCTTTTTTTCAAAAACACAGGCACCCCAAGGGTTTATATGACCTCTGATGTTGCGAAACCTCGTCCAAAAAAAAAAAAAAAATTGCGACGCTACCTGATGCTACCTACCCGACGCAAATCCAAAGTCCAGTTTTCCATAAGATTGCATTACCCCCGTACACATAGTCTGAAATAAACTACAAAAAATAGTAGTGTCCTGTTCTGAACCTACTGGACAAAATGGTGTAATTGTATGAGCAAAACCGTGTAATAAATTGTTAGTTAAATTGTATGAGCAAAACCGTGTAATAAATTGTTCCAATTTTAGTATATTACTTCAATAAATTGTTAGTTAAATTCATTATATCAAAAAAATCGTATTCCGGTGTTTTGATAAATTTTCTGCCAAACCGTTAAAATGATTTTTTTAAAAATAAAAGCTAACAAATTTTTGATCTCGGTTAATTTGGTTTATATTAAAATAAGTATGTTGTAATTAATATAACGACAATAATACATATAGTTTGAAATAAAAATATGAGTGACTGGTTCTTTTATCTCCGACTGTACTCGATGCTACCCGACGAAAATCTAAACAGTGGGGATTACTTAGCGTAGAGTAGGGTAGCGTTGCGTGGCATAGAACAGATGTGCACGGGGATAATGCAACCTTATGGAAAATTGGACTTTGGATTTGCGTCGGGTAGCATCGGGTACAGTCGAAAACAAAAGAACGGGACACTCATATTTTTATTCAAACTACATGTATTATTGTCGTTATGTTAATCAGTCTTGAAGAAAAAAGGAAGTTCAGTTGTTACTGCCAAGCTTTCGATCTATTTTAAGGTCATCATCAGGGCCTATATTAATGTCACATTACGAAAACCATTTGTACAATTGATTTACCAATTGTTTTTTATAATGTGAAAATGTGACTCCGGTACAGCATACTTCACTAAACAAGAAAACATACTGACGTAACTCGAAAGTTCCACTTTTCCTGATGTTGACACCGATGTTTTAACGTTTGACACCGAACTAAGTTATGCCACTTTTCGTGAATGGTGACAGTAAGCTACCGTCACTTCAGTGACACGTGGTGCTGCCTCTACGAGCCCATCTACAGTTGTCATTTTTCCTGTAGCGTTACACACCCGGATACTTGCCGAATAAGTAATCCGTTTTCAAAAATTTTCGACTTGCGTCATTTTTCTTGTGGGTGTGCGATATGTAAATACTTCGGCCAGGCCGGAAGGAACAACAATTAGAAAGTTGCATCCAACGAAGTCTTAACACTAATTAAATAGGATGATGTAGATTATACAGGGTGTCTTTTTTAGATGGCCCGGCTGAATTTCTCTTGAACCAATGACGACGCTATAAAAAAAAGTGTTTACTATTTTTTAGTTTAGTTTCAAGGGTACCTCAGTCCGAGTTCAACTTCAAAATTTCAAATACGACCCTATACATCCTGACACATCATTTTAAAGAATTGTTTACGCTGAAAACATTCAATTGGTTTGCTATTTATTAATCACATTTCATGTTCGAATTGTCTGCCTTGCGTAAAGACGGAAAGATGCATTTTTTAAACCACTCTTCGCCGGTCCTCAGAGAGATAGAATCGGGGAGATGGATTAACCACCATTACGGAGGCCATTACGGTCCTAGCCACCTATCCCGGAAGTGACGATTCAAATAACGTCTCACCTGCAAAGAATTGTGTGCGGGGCATCCAACAAGCAGGAGTCATTCTTTGTCGTTGTTGCAGAGGAACATCATCTAATAGTGTTAGTAAAACCTCCCTCAAAAAATTGAGGAACCACACCGTCAATACTGTGAACCACCTGATGATGACAAGAGTATGGAATTCTCGGATTTTCCTCCGCCCACGTTCGAAAATTCCAAAGGTTTAGTATGCCATTGGGGTGAACTTGGATTCAGCAGTCTATGGGATGTAAGGAAGAACGTTTTCTTCAGCCTCCCAAATCGACATTTGTGCAAGGAACATTTGACACCTGTCATCATAATCAGAGTCCCGAAGTCCCTGGACAAGAGACAGATAAGAGTGATACGGCTTAAAATTGTAAGTCCGGAGTACAACCCTAACTTTATTTTTTGAAAAACCGAAAACTCTTCCTACATTGAAATAATTGGAAAAATTATTGAACCCAAAATTATTGAAATTAACAACGAAATGCGTTTCATCAAACTTTTGGCCATAACTTTGCCATTTTTTGTCTAATTTAAAATCCGATTGCACCACTGTCTTCAGCGTAAAAAATCCTTTCAAATGTTGTGTCAGCATGTATAGGGTCGTATTTGAAATTTTGAAGTTGAATTGGGCCTGAGGTACACTGTATAACTTTTTTCGAATGAAAGGTAAAAATTGGATAAAATTTTTTATTTAAACATATAAACACGTATTTTTTTGTTTTTTTGATAGCGTCATAATTGGTTCAAGAGAAATTGAGCCCGGCCATTTAAAAAAACTGTATAAATTTCGCCAGCTTAAATTATTTATTCAGCACAGGTAAAGTTATGATTAAATTTCTAAGAATGCTTGTTTACACTTAAATTTAAATTGAATTTTAATTTTAACAATTAGAGTTTGTTTAGTCTCGTTGCTACTTGGACCGAATGTTTACGCTTTCGGTTGCTATGAGCACCAATGTATGCACCGTACGTCGCCCTTGCCTCGTTCTCATTTCAACCTACCTTTCGAATTTTCCGTCCTTTTTGCCATTTTTCAATTCGAAAAGTAGGTTTTAGATGGGAAGTTGGTGTCCGAGTGGATCGAAGTCACGATTGCTCAAGTGGTAGAGCAGCGGCGTATTTAGCCGAAAGTCGTCGGTTCGAATCCCGCTCGTGACACTGACTTTTTCATTTCAACCAATACCTTACATAAAGATTAATTAATTGAAAGAAATTATTAATTAAATTATCTCATTACTAATTAGATATTTCATTTATTGTGAACTACCAGTCATATACCATATACTGATATCTAATAAGTAATGCGCTCTCCTTGTTTTAGAAACCTTTGCCAACGGGTGAGTTCCATTCAGCTAAATAGTGAGGTAAGTACATAAAGATGATTTCTTACTATTGTTGATAATAAGATGTGTTTATTGACTATAATAAAATATTGTAGCTCTGAAGATGGACCAGGGACGTGGCCCGAAATGCGTTAGCAATTAAAATATATGGTATAAAAATAAGTGATATGTTTAGTAAAAAAAAAAAAAATGAGGGAGTGAGTGTGACCAGACTTATATGTTTGTGTCGAGTGGTGATGTATATTGTGTTTTATTCTGCAGTTGACAACCTGAGGTACAAATGAGAGGCTAGCATTTTAGAATATCGACAAAGTTTATATACAAAAGCAGAGAGTCAGTAACAACAAAATAAGCATGAAAGACCAGAAAAAGAAACAAAGACAAGTAGAAGGCCGGCGATGACCTCACTTATTAATCGGTTCCCAAACCTCTCACATTATTAGTATAAAATCTTTGGGAAAGTTTGGAGAACCTACAAAACATCCTGCTGGAATATATACATGAAGAAATCATAAGCTTTTTTCTATAAAAAAGTGATTATTTGGGGGAAAATTTGTGAGGAAAAAGAACGGAGACACAAGTTTTATATCTTGCTTACCCTCCGAGCAGAAAGTTGACCCCAGCGTGCGCCGGAGCCACGTTGGTCATGTTGTAATTCGACTTTGTTATATTGTTGTGTTTCGAATTGAAAGCCAATATCGCCAAATGTTTGGATGACACGGCAAAAAGAGTGACCATTTTACTAAAAAGTGAATACAAAGTTATACAACTTGGGGGGTTTGAGATGTTAAAATAATAAAACCTGGTATATCGAAGATTGCACATACAAATCCGAGTCAGGTCATAATCTCGTACAATTATTGTTATCTGAAAAGGTGAAACACGCTGGGCGACGGTTCGCCTATATTCGACCCTTTCCCTCCACACATCTATTAAAACTGAGGAAAAATAGCCTTCAAGATAAACATGCAAACCTTCTATAGCAACCGGTAGAAATCTATAAATGGTACCCCGGACAACCGACCGACAACAACAAACTGGACTAGGCATCGTTCATTCGATCGCTTGTCGCAGTCCATAGCCGCCATAAAACCATCTGATCAAAAGATGTTCAAAAGATAAGGTGCACTGTTAAGTTAATAGACGGAAATGACAAAAACTTCCTCAAATTTCGACAGTGAAAAACTTTGTCGAATAAAATGTAAGATTTTCATTCACCGATTTTCATCGTAATTGACCCGATTTGAACAAATCTTGATTCCTCCCTGCAGATCAATCGGTTTATTGATCTCAGATCACAGTCCCAATGCGAATTACAAGACTGGCCTGATTTCTAAATGGGATTATTTTTATATTAAAGCCATTATATTTCGTGGTCCGATTGACCAAATAACAACTTCTTTCAATTAATTAATCTTTATGTAAGGTATTGGTGGAAATAAAAAAGCCAGTGTCACGAGTGGGATTCGACCACACGACCTGCAGCTAAATACGCCGCTGCTCTACCACTTGAGCTATCGTGACTTCGATCTACTCGGACACGAACACCCCATTGAAAAATGGCAAAAAGCAGGGAAAATTCGAAAAGGTAGGTTGAGATGGGAAATTGGTCTACTTCTAATGCTTGGCTAGCCACTGAATATATATATGTATCCATTTATGTTTTAGTGGTGACCAAGTTATTTCTTTCAATTAATTATTATTTTTATGTGAGGGTTTTTGGTTGAGATAAAAAAGTCAGTGTCACGAGCGGGATTCGAACCCACGATCTTCGGCTAGGACACGCCGCTGCTCTACCACTTGAGTTATCATGACCTCGATCCACTCTGACACCCACCTCCTATCTCANGACCTGAAAAAGGACGAACGAACGGCAAGAACAAACGCACAGGACGGCCAAAAGTAAATAAGCGTTTTTCTTTCTTAAATACTCATATACCGCAGAAGTTGACGACCGTTTGACATTACAAAACATCGCCGTAATCAGCCGTGTTATGTACATCGAAAAAGGACAGAAATACAGCAAAACGCACTGACGAGCCACCAATTACGACAAAACTAGCGCTAATAGGATGATCGTAGACGTGCATACTTCAAACAAATATATCACAAGAAATTTTAAGCTGTAATGTTGAAGTTACAAGATAACGGTCGTACGTTTGCATCCATGTTATGAACCTGAATAAAGGACGAAAGGGAAGGACAAACGCACAGAACAATAAAAATGATAAAACTATGGAATCGGTCAAGCGGCAGCTCTCAGACCTCAACACAACCTTTTACAGTAGTACACTGTACATTTTATGGTAAAATTTTATGGATAAGGATTTATACGTATTCTGCCACATTGGGGGCTAATGGACAGCGAATCACATGTTGAATATTATGGACAGAACAGATATTTTATTCAAAACAGTTTCTGACTAGTGACCTCTTACCTCCAGCTTGTGAGTGTACTTTTATATGATTACATAAAATTATTTTGCCATTGATTCTGCCCATATATGCACTTGTGGACATATATGTGCAGAGTCGAGCTTATGGCTTGCTACGAGAAGCATCCATTTCGGTGTTTGGTGGTGTGGGGCCGCCAGATCATGGCCTTACCTGTACCACGGTCCAAGTTAGGTTCAAGAGGCAAACGATAAAACGTCAATTCAGCTCCCAATACATGCAGTTTTAACCTATAAACTCATTCTCTCAATAAATTCTTTCTTATTTACTAACCGGGGGGCACAAGACAAACTCCCCCTTCCACGCAGTGCCCCCTGGGAAACACCTCCATGCTACCGGCACCCCACAAGGGCTGGCTTTTCGAGGCAGGCTAAAAGGAGCAAAGGCGACCCTAATCCAAGTTGTAAAGAGAATTGTGCCGAAGGATGAATGACACTGGGGTGTTAAAAATAGTGTCTCAAACGGGCCCTCAGGTAACGCTATTATATCCAGGCTTACCCCAGTATGCGGGGCTCTGCTGGGGCTGACATCTTATATCCCTAGCTACTCGTGGGAATTATATGGAACCTATCGATCAAAAAATCCAAACACCCCGCCCAGAGGCCACCCAACCAAGTAGCTGTGCCAAACCAAAATATGTCAATGGGAAGAATAAGGGTACTCAGGTTAACCTCCACTATGCTGCATCGGCCACACTATGCAGGAGGTTTGACAGGGAGGGTCTGTATGTCGCCCTGGTCCAACAACCACACAGGGGTACAAAACGGGACTGTGGGAGGACTAAAACCCTAACAGACACAGGTAATATACCAGAGGACATCAACAAGATCCCGGGCTTGTGTAGTGTTTAATACAAGAATTAGCTGCACACTATGTACCACGACTTTGTTACAGCAATTCTGACAGCAAAGACTGCGGGTGGAGAAAGAAGATGGCAAATCTGCTCGGCCTACTTCCCAAGAGAGGAACCTTGCCTACCCAAGTTGCTGGACGATATCATGAGGTACTCCAGGCAACAAAACATGAAACTAGTCATGGGATTTGATGAAAATGCTCCCCATATTACATGGGGAAGTACTGACATCAACAACCGAGATGAGTCCTTATCAGATTACCTAACTGGTGAAGGGTTAAACATTGCTAATAGAGGCACAGAACCCACCTTCCCTTCCTCACCCGATGTACGCAAGAACTCTTCGTCATCTGACAATTACTTCCCAAGGAGCTAACGAAAACATCATAAATTAGAATGTATCCAGGGAACCATCAAACTCTGGTTACAGGCACATCAGATTTGATTTGAACACTCCTTCTCTCATAAAAACAACACACAGGAACCCAAGGAACACCAATTGGATAGGGTACAAAAGAACCCTCCAGCAATCCTTACAGGGGGTAAACAAGGAATTTAGAAACAAGGAAAGCCTAGATATTTCTGTGCAAGAGGTAACCAATGCCATACTAGGCTCCTACACCGAATACTGCACATAAAAAAAAGTCTAAATGAACATAAAACAGTCTGGTGGAACAAACACCTAGAACGACTGAGAGCTCGAATAAGAATTTGATTCAACCAAGGCTTCCGAAAAGCTAAACGTAGCGGAGATTTTGTGGCGAAATCACAGAAACATCTTAATGTGCCCGCATACCCAGACCCCTAACCAAGGATGGTACAGGGAGACAGGTAAGCTTCCTCTCGAAGATGGATGGAAGCTTCACATAAACCGGAAGAAGAAACTCTCTCTCTACTGATTGAAAATCACTTCTCAGTAGCAGTAACAATCTACGAAGAAATACTCCTTGAGAACTTAAAAACAAAACGACACATAAAAGAAAAGTGGAAAGAAGTGCAGCCACAATACAACCAAAAGCCATAAACTGGGCACTTGAGAAGTTTAGCCCATTCAAGTTGTTATACAGGATAGACAAGTTCTAACCAGCGCTACGGCAAGAAGGTCAATAGATCCTCATCCTTTACTTAGTGAGAATATTCAGAGTCTGCCTAGCGTGGAGTTATATTACTAAAAGTTGGCGCGCGATACGAGTGGTGTACATACCAAAAGTAGGTCGACCCATGAACTACAAGCCCAACTCGCACAGACCTATCAATCTCACATCGTTCATGGTAAAAACATTAAACTAGAGAACCATATTCAAGAGACAGTACTGAAGAATAAACCTCTCAGTGAACGACAATTCGCATACCAACCAGTGAGATACATCGAGCTAGCCCTGGATGACCTGTGCAAATGGCTAATCAAGTCCATAAACGACAAGGAGATAGCTTTAACACTTTTTATAGAGGGAGCTTTTAACAATGCAACCATAGCCTATTTACATAGAACAATGAAAAACAGGGGAGTTTTGGTAATGATATGCCTATGGGTGGAAAAGACCTAAGGAACGGGATCATCACATCTACCTTGGGCGGTGCGACCGGACTAAGACAGCCACAGGATGCCTACAATGGGAGGGGGTTCTCTCACCCCTACAGTGGACGACGCTGTTAGATAAACTCCTGCAAACACTGGAACAAGAAGGATTCTACTGTCTAGGATGTACGAACGACCTTGCCGTAGTAGTAAAGAGCCGCCCTGCAGACATCGTGATGGATCGTATACTACGAACCCTCAATTTGGATGACAAGTGATGCAAAAGAGAGGAGCTATCTATTAACCCTCACAAAACCATAATGATTCCATTCACAAGGAAGAGGACAATAGGAAGCTTAAAAACTCAAGTCTAAACGACACCCCGATTTCATTTTCCAGGGAGGCCAAGTATCCAGGAATCACACTAGACCAGTGGCTCACATGGAATCAACATTTAACTAAAACACCCAGAGAGCCAAAATGGCATGGGGGAGGTGCAGAAGGCTCTACGCCAAAAACTAGGGATTAAACCCCAAAATGATATACACATGGATATACACTTGCGTCTTTAGACCGATGTTGACGTATGAGTCGGCGGTGGTGTGGTGGACCAAGACTCTGCAGGCCAAAGCAATCAAGCTATTAAGTGGCACCCAAAGACAAGCTTGTCTCAGTGTCATTGGAGCCTCCCACGCTCACATTCACGTCAGTAAATACAACCACTCTCAACACATGTTAAGTATACAAAACAGCACAATTCTCCCATCGGTTGGCATTCCTACACGCTCTCTATATGGAGCCAAGGAGTTGCTTTAATGAGAGACACATCGAGCAACCTTTCTCTGCATGGATAGTAGTTATGTGATTAAAAAGGGTGCACTAAGGGGTTACACATGCACTAAATCTAATTAAGAGTCGATGAGGAGTATTCATTATTTCACCTTATTGTACTATACATTCACTCTTATAAATACATTCTCACGAAACAGTTAACACAAATATATCTATAACCAAGGTTTTTATATAAACAAAATTTATTTAGCCTGGTCTGTTTGTTTGGAAGGCTCGTTCATCCTTGACTCAATTGT